CTAGGGCCAAGGCCCAACCCATTGCCAACCTTTGACTGATCGGCCCTGGATTTACCTCGCTCAGGGACCATGGCTTGATGAACGCCCTCTCGGACAACCGCTCGACCAGCGCATGCGTGTGCGCCCCGCGTGCCTTGTACAGATAGGTATCTCCAACGGTGAGATGATTTTAAAGCAATAAAGAGCTAGACTCGAACACCTACCTCGCCGCGGTTGAGTTCGTTGGATATGTCCAGGTAGTAACCCTCTTAGATCAATGATGAAAGCCCTCCGGCAGTCCAGCAACATGGTTTGAATTTGGCCCCCTCTGAAATCAACACCTTACTCATACCCTCACGAAAAGACTGCTAATAGAATCCATTTAATAATAAACTCCTCTTAATGCACTTACAGGTTAGTGGTTCTAGTTTTGAGGTAGAGTGATAAGAAAGCCAAATAAGAAAGAGAAGAAAGAAAATAATAAGAGTGGGTTGATTAGAACTTGGTTTAGAGGTAAGAAGCAAAAGAAGAAGGTGAAATAGAAAAAGTAAAAGGGTGACCCAAAAATTGGGTAGCCTCCCGGTATAACCTCTCCTAAGAGGTATTACCGAAGACAAAAGAAAGTACCAAGATCAAAAGCCTTGGTACTTGGAGGATTTGAAAAGTGGAATTACGGGACTTGGCTCGTAACTATGTCACTAACCCAAAGAGCCCCTTAAAAGTGATCTAGTGAGAGAAGAAAAGAGAATGAAAGAGATAAAAATCTCTCATATCTCGAACACTGTGTGACCCAGTGGTTAAAGTAGCTCGAGGGTCAAAACTATTAGAAAACTGTCTCAGGAGGACCCCAGTCCGAGTGACTCAGCACAAGATAATCTGTGTCTCTTACGACTCAACAACACTATGTGAGCTGGTGGTTCAAGCAATAAACTGGGAGTTAGAACCCTAAAATACTATCTTAAGAAGACCCCGGCTCGAGTGCTCAAAGATGAGAGAAGAGATGAGTGAAGAGAGAGAGAGAAGTGAATGAAGGGTAAGGGTATGAGTTAAAGAGAGAAGTGAATGAGGGGTAACGGTATGAGTTAAAGAGAGAAGAGAATTAGATTGAGAGAGAAAAGATTTAGAGAAATTAAAAGAAGATGGACCCACCTATGGTACAGGTCCGGGTGTCCTGGGGGGTAGGTTGAGGTGAGAGAAGGTGAGGGATGTGGGTTGAGGGGACGGACCCGCCTTAGGTGTGGGTTCGGGATTTGGCGGGATGAGTGAGTGTGAGAGAGGCCAAAGGAGTGGGTAGGATAGAGAGAAAGAGACGATGGGGAGAGAGAGGGTGAGAGATGGTGAGAGGGTAGAGAGAGGGAGCCGAACTCGCCTAGGGTGCGAGTCCGTGCATCTGGGCGAGAAGTGGAGAGAGAGAGAAAGAGAGAAAATAGAGAGAGAGGTAGACCTGCCTAGGGTGAGGGTTTGTGGCTTGGGCAAGAAGAGGAGAGAGAGTGAGAGATAAATAGAGCGGGGGAGAAGTCGGGCCCATCCTAGGTGAGGATCTATGCGTTTTTTGATGTGAGAGAGAGAGTGAACAAAAGGAGAGCATTGTTTTTAAAATCGCCTGTTCTAACCGCAAATCACCCGGTTAGATCAGAACCGGCCACTGTCCGGTTCCAGTTTTGGGCAGTTAGGGTGATCAACCGGTATTTTAAAAAACAATTCCAAAAAATGTATATAAATTCTAAAAAATAAGGAATTTAATTTGTAATGTATTTTTAAATATTCTTTACATTATGGTGAAGATTAAAATTATTTTGGTCATTAATACTCACTTTTATATTTTCCTATCTTATTTAGAAATTTTTTAAAATGGCCCTTGGAAAATATAAAATAAGTTAAAAATCCATTTTTGTTATTAATTTTTCAACTTCATTTGAATGAGTTTTGTTTT